CTACGAGAAATAATCGATTTACCGGATTTCACTGTTCGAGATAAAAATGTATTTTTTTTGTTCTGGATAATTTAATCAAGAATGATTTTGTAATTGTATTTTTGGCGACAAATGTGTCAAAGTTGTGTACAATGTACAAAATTAGATTGAGAATACAACGTGATTATAGTAATATAATAATAATTAATATGATATATAATATAGAGACATATTTTAATATCTATCGTTATTACATTATAATAATTATAGTATAATGCATATTACAATAATGTAACAAAATTATTTTTCAAAATGTATCTTCAAATAAACTTTCATAACATCAAATGTATGTTCAAATAACGTTTCACTAACTTTTTACTATTAATTTATTTACTAGCCAAAAATTATGTACAGTTACAGAGTTGTAGAGATACACTGGAATGGTATTTTCGGAAAAACGTGATTAATTAGTAGAAACATCACAAGGCTCGCGGAAATAATCCAATTTGAGAGAACCGGTCTCATGAGAGAAATTGATTACCGAGAGAAGAGAAAACTTGTTGCGCGATTGAGCGCGTCGCTTCCGCGATGTTTCGCGATTGTTTGATGAGTAAGTACTCGAGTACCTCATCTAACGGAAATCATCAAAACGATGGGCGATGCGGTATACATGGGTAAATTTATAAGTGGCGCAAATAAAACGGACGCGGGTATGATTTTCGCGTTTAGAAGAAGACAAAAGATTTGCATTTCGTAACAACAGAATATATGATAAATCAATTAGACATCTAGTAATTAGACGAATGATACGAGTGAGAGTTTAAATGTAATAAGAGAAGCGAGTTGAAAAATATTTAATAAGCGGGAAAGTGTCAATTAACTGTTCACAAGAACAATAGGAATATCTTTTCATCGTTTTCTTTTTTATCGTTGCGTCTTTGCTTGAGAAATGAAAAGAATCGTTTTTCGAGGATGTCGATCTGCACATCGATCACCGATCGACATCGAGATTGTAAGCGCGTCCTCCGCATTGGTCAGGACGGTCGTCGTTACAAATTTGCAAACACGCTACGCTGGCTCGCAGAGGCTCGATCCGCAGGCACAACCGCGGAATCACACACGAGGAACGCCAATCCAAATTACGTAATTCCCCCGTTTGCGGTTCTCCTTGAAACGCGCAGCTCCTGGCACCGCTTCGCGCCGAGCGTTTCTTTGCGTTTCGTTTTCTGCGTTTATATACTCACACGGACGAACGGAGCGCGCCTCTTCGAAGTTCCGTTCTTTAGCCAGCTGGGCTGCTTTACCTTTACCGGCCTTAACGCCGGAATTAATCGCCTTTGTCTACGTACCGGCACGTTCGCGCCTTACGCCTCTTTCCGCTCGCGGCTTGATGAATTTATTGACGCGTGGAAAAAAAATCGCGCCTTTTAAATCGCGCGTCTCGCGCGTCATTTCTCGGTTCAGCCGACAGTCAGCTGGACACACTAGAGAAAGATAATCTCACTCAGGATTTATGGGCTGATTATACGTACGAGTGTTCGTCAGCGAAAGTGTATACTTTGTATGGTTCATGATTTAGGGAGAAAATTAAATCGCGCTCATCGAGAGCTATAAAATTGATGAAGATATTTGCGAGGCAAAAGAATTTCGCGAAAAACGGATAATATCCGTTTGAGATGTTTAGATTTTTTTTTTTATTCATTTATTAATATCTAAATAAAAATCTAATAAAATGCTACGAATTTTAATAGTTTTCTATTTAATAATCTATTTATATAGCTACGTATGATGTTACGTTTAGTTAATCATAAATTATCATAATAATCTTTTTCTCGATGCAAATAAAGATGAAACGGAAAAGTTTAATATATGTACATAAATCTTTAGAAAAATGCTAAACAGAAATACTTATTGAATATGTTCAATATCAGCCTTCTTTCAGTGTCTTTTCGAAACGGCTCGCCAATACTATCATGCCAATACTGTCACGCACGATTGTAACAATCGCTTTGTCTGAACATGGCCTTGAATTGAACCTTGGATCCTTATTGTTCGAGCAGAAAACGGTTAAAGCAAAATATATTAGGATTTTACCGAGAATTTCACTACAGTTTTCTCTTTTTACTATATTATAATCAAGCATACATGTATGCATTATTTTAATCAAATATTTAAATTGCCATTAATTTTAATTTAAAAAAAAATCAATTTATATGAATAATATGAAAAATATATTCATATTTATTCATGTTTATCGATAAACATCGAGAATGCATAGGTACAGCCACGGCATTGAAATCTCCAAATATCCCGGCATTATCGTGTGACTTCCATCATTCTCTAATATTTTATAATAAATAATGAAATACAAATAATAAACGATATATTTTACATATTTGAACGCTGAAGGAGCAGACGAGACATTAACTATGCCTCTTGTGAAACTTTGAAACTTTTATTTTAATCAAAAGAAAAACGTCTTCGATTTCCTGGTTTTGAGTGCCGAAGCTATTTATGTTTGCTTTACGTAAGATGCTCGTTCTCAATTTCTCCAGGACGAGCGAGCCATCGTCGTCGCATGCGGTATAATAAAAGTCAGACGATAATAATGCAACGGACGGTTGACGTTCCCCATCGAAATTTCGCCATTTCTGCTATAATGAACGCCCGACTGTGCGTAACGTCGCCCGAGAACGATCGAGAAGGTATTTCGCGGTGTGATACTTTCTCAGAAAATTCGCGCGCGGGAATTTTTATAGGAATTTTTCTTTTCATCCAGCAATTCGCCGAGAATTGCAATTCGCGTGTCAATTCAAGCGCGCGCGTTCGCGAGACATTCGCGCATCTCTTTCCCTCTCTTTCCCTCTTCCTCTTGACGAAGAACACGGTTGTAAATAACTCTACGCTTTCTAAATTTGCGATATTTTATGCCAGTTCATTCATTAACATCCGACCAATCGCGAATTTTCACTGGGTGATAGGGTTCAATTTTCTGCGTCTCGATCGCATCGAGTGACAAATACGCGGAATTTAGCAATTGTTTGTTTTCTAAATTGCGCAAATGTACAAAGGCAATCGAGGAAAAATATTTAGAAAAGCGAAAAACACAGTGTTATGGACAAGAATCAATTGTTCGATAATTTTCCAAGAAATTACATTTTACATGAATAAAACTGAACAGAAAGAAACAGGAAAACCCACTGTTTTGCTAGGGAATTAACTTCTTATGTTTAATTGCTTCGTACCGAGAGGTACCATATGGTTCCACTTGTAAACATCGCCACAGAGATTTCTTCCACAAGAATTTGCCAACATGAAATATTGACATGAAATTATAATGAATGTGCATACGGAGTGTGATATCGATAAAATATTGTGCAACTCGCTATCGATAATCAGTTTACGTAATTTTCATTTGAAAGTTACGCGTGCAATATCTTTAATAATAATTACTTCCTGAAGGAGATTTTATTGCGATTATATTCGTTACACGTATTTCGTTTTTGTCGTGATGCAAGCCAACAATTTCTATCGACTTCTAGACACGCTGTCTTCTCGGAGAGACGGACATTATTTCCTCGTTAACAGACAGAATTTCTCGACGGACTCTTGCCGCGATAATCGAGTCGTCGAGGTTTCAATTGTAATATCTAAAGTTGTTGTTAAATCGTATTTTATGGTGCGGTTAAAAAGATCGTTGACAAATCATGGCAAATATAATAATAAAATAGTAATGGTAATAATATTAAAACAAATACCACGAAAGATAAATCTGATCGTAATGAATCGGACATAATTATTTGTTCTCGAACGTTATGAAACTTTGAATTTCATCATAACTATCCTATTACACTATCCTATTATATCCTATTATAAACTATCCTATTATAAATACACAACTCGATAAAGTTTACTTCAACAGAGACATGTAATTCAAAGCTTATTGCCCAGTTTTTGAAATCAAAAATATTTATATGTGAAATAATGACTTCTCATAAAATTAAAAAAAAAATCAGTTCCAGAGTATATGTTTAATAAAGTTAAAAAAAAATATATATATATATATGTATTTAGGAAGGACTAAAAGGATATCTGAAATGCAGATTATCATCCACGCCAGGATTTATTTATTCGTAACATATATCGCATAACATATATTAGTGTTCTTTAGTCGCTTGCCAAAAGCAGATTTGCGTTTTTACCGAGCCGTGAAGAAGAATGTTAATTGTATTAGCGGCATCGTACTAATGTCACCCTTTTTCACTTTCGATCGTAAAGAGATCGTTAAATCGCGGGCTTGTTCTCCGAGAGGATCCGACGCGATCTGTCAATCGATTCCTTTTACGATCCGTCGAACGCCGCTGCGACGTGAAAATTTAGAAATCTCCGTGAAAATCACCACCGTGAACGTAACGAGCTGAAAGCTGCGGCGTCGGCTCCGCTGCTTTTTTACGCCGCGAACGATAGTGTTTAATTCGTTTAACAATTAAATGAGAAATCTAACGTGGCCGATATAGGCACAGTCACTTTCCCCGCTACGAAAAATTAGCAGGACCGTCAATGCGATTTCTCCAGAAAGGATAGTCGTTATCCCGATAATCGTGCGTTTATGCGGCAGCGTTTTTCGAAGGCAGCGCGTATAACGCGCACTGGAAATATCACGGCAATTTTCTTTTTATTCTTATTATCATTACTCCTTTTTTTTCTTTTTTTTTTTTTCCGTTATTATACTCATTCTATGAACTTACCTTGAGCTTCTCGTAATCGCAACGTTAACGATCGTTAATTAGATTGACAATCTAATGATAATGAAATTACGTACTGATCTCGCGAGAAATCTCGAGCATCGAAAAAGTAAACGTTCCATGTAACACAAGTATACTTTACTTTATCAAATATGAATTATATATGTATATATGGCTCTTATCACTTTGTTTTTTTTTTTTTTTTTTTAGTTGACTGATATAACTAAAATATTTTACGATAAGACACATTTTACTATCACGTTTTACGTTTCTTACCTGCACCAGAGCCTCTGGCTGCAAATGCTTCAGAAATTCACCTTGCGGCTGATACGATCCGTAAGCCTGCTGCTGTTGGAGCTTCAGCTCGGCCTGCATCGCCGCGATCGATTCCGGCGTGCAGGAAGCCCTAGCCTGGACCCAGGATGCCGCCAGGATAAAGCTGCCGAGCACCACGGACATCGTGATCAGAGTGATAGCGGCGATCCTGGCGATCTGCACCGCCGTACTCTTCATCGGCGGTCTCATGTACGCCTGTGGAGAACATCTCGCTTGTACATATTGCTAAGAGGGAAGGGATTTAATCTCTTCTTTTTTTTTTGTCTGTCGTTAGGGCATGTCGACATGAGTTTCGCACGGGAGACATCTCGCCTCTAATGTTAAACAGTTTTGAAAACGATAATAATAAAGGGAACGTCAAAGGAGAGCGTGAAACGACAAAAGGCCTCGACTCGGTTGGTTAACCAGCGTGAAGTCCTGCATGCCATTTTGTGTGTGTGTGTGTGTGTGTGTGTGTGTGAGAGGAGTATCAGCACCTCTGTGATACGTGTGATATAGATACACGCTATACTTGTACACGCGCATGTACGCACATGTATCGGTACACGTTTATATGTGCTTTACGTGAACATACAAGCACGAACAAATTGTGCTTTACCGCGCCAGTTACACCGATAAGAGGGGAAGAGAGAAGGTGATTATGTAAAGTCTCGTACGTATCGTTAATGCTTCTCGTTGATTCACCGGCACTTTTGTTGGATATCGTGGAAACACGAAACTGTGGCTTCCCTGTGACGAGTGAATGAATTCTCCAAGAGAATTCACCACAGTCAGACTTCATCATCGGCCGTATATTTATTCCTCCTGACTCGCGTATCTATATCTCTCGTAAAAAGTATATTAATTTAATGCTCAGTAAAACTGATTAATTTCTCATAGTCTAGTCGGCTCTTCCTGCTGTCGTATGAAGAAAAACGCGTTGCGCGTGATAGAGAGTAAATAACATAAGGGGAAAAACATTTTCAACGCGTCGGATAAATAAGTGTACAGTTTAAGTAACGCGCAGCTGTGGCCGCTCGTCGAAACGTGACATCCAGTAGTATATCGTAGTCAGGCGAATTAACAACAGCTGAAAATAATTTACCGCGTCGTCGTTTAACTCCTTCAAGAGCGCCGGGAATAAGCGCGATAAAATACATCTGACGCGCGCTAACTGTACCTTGACATTATTACGAGCGTTGCTCGAACCCGTTTCGACGTCCGACGCTTTTGTAGATCATAGACATTTGCCGCTACTTTACACAAAACTCGTAGATTCATGTTTGTTGACCGTCACGTTACGTAATTATGCCAATATTCGAAACGTACGTTCGAGATGAACGTTTCAAGATGATTTCAAGAGAAATATATTTTTAGCCCCCCATTTCCCGCTCCTCTTTAATCAACTACTCCTACGTTGAATATATTTACATTGTGATCGAGTTGACGCCGAGCCTTGACTTTTGGGATGCAAGTTTCTCTCTACACGGGAGATGAGAGACTTGTATCACCGACTGTACTTGCACATACAATTCGTAATGACCTCGATGTGGATGGACGACTCGGGTGAGAGGCTTCCAAGAGATAGTAGGCCATCCGAGGCTGGCTTTATGCCGCGCGATCCTCCTGACAAAAGTAAACAGGCACTGTTGCCAGGCGCTTGAGACGAAAAAATTATCATTGGTCCTTTGAGACAAATCTCTTGGTTTCTTCGTTACTTGCGAGTCACTGACACCCATCCGATTCGTGGAGAACGTTCCGGAACGATGATTGATCGTTACAAACTGGTTCAAGAGGAATTATTAAGTGAAGGATCATGAGTCAATTTCGATGAGTCGCGGATAATAATTTATATATGTTGAATTTGTAATCTTCTATGCTACAGTACACAATAATAT